TTTTACTGCCGTGCCTAATTGTTTATTAATTAGTTTCAGATTTTTTTGTGCTGCTTTTAATTAAAATGGCATACAAATACTGCCAATCAAGTGTTGAAAAAAATAGACTTATAAAAAAAATCTTGTGAAATTTCAAGATTCGCATAAAAGTGGACAGTTTCCAATGTTAGAAACATCTTTTCAAAAATATTCCAAAATGCCATTAAAAAGTGATATTGTTAGCAGGTTTAAGTACTTGTCTAGTACTGATGTGAAAGCCAAAAAGCAAAGGATAGATCTTATTTCAGAGGAAGTTATAAGTTTGTGGAAAGAACAATTAAATTTCCCATGTCTGACAGAGCAGTCAGTGAAGCGAAAGATTAATGATGTTATAAAAAAATATGAAAGTCTCAGAAAAAAAGGGAATGCCGACCTTCTGCAAAAAGAGATTTTTGATATAACAAATCAAAATGGCATTTGGTTATCATCTGAAGATAAAAGATTTTATGAAATTCAGTTACAAAGCAAAGGAGAAATTGGATATGCTACTTCAAAGCTGGCAGGAAAGAAGACTATTCATCCATCAATTGTGCAAAAACTTTCCACCCAACCTTCAGCATCTAAAAGTTTTTCTTCATTTACTGAAAGTAGTAAAATAGAAATTCAATTAAAATGATTGTGACAGATACTACAAATGTCAATACCGGAAAGAAAAATGGTGTTGTTGTAAAACTTGAGGACATTTTTCAAAAAAAAGGATTACAAAAACCTCAATTTGTACCATGTCAACATCATATCTTGGATAGAATACTTAGACTAGAAATGGAAGAAAAATTGGGAGAAAATCCGAACTCACCAAACATTAATTCCTTTTTTACTAACGAGTTGTTAGAACATTATGAAACACTGAAGACAAATTTTTATAATGGTACAGAAGAAATAAAAGACACAGGAGGATGGCGAGATGACATGAAGTTTCTGTTTCATCTGACGAGAACCTACCGATACTATGACCAAAATAAAATATTTCCTAATGTAAGATTTCAAAAAATCCCTAATATCAGTAATGCTCGGTGGAGTTCAAGAGCTATTTTAGCGTTGTTAGCCTACATTCTTATGCCAAAAACAAGAAACAAACTTGAATCTGTATGTACCTTTATTTCTTACAAGTGGGCAGATTTTTGGTTTGACGACCAAACCTATAAAGAAAACACTTATTCAGACCTTCATGAAGTTTTTTTAAACAAAAAGAAACCTCTTGCTACATTTACAAGTCATTGGAATCCAGAACCATCAGCAATCAACATTCCCAGAAGTAATCAATGTGCTGAAAGAGCAATTAAAGTAATGGAGGAGCTTTATAGATTGTGCAGAAATAAAGACAATCTTCCACTTCATTTCATTTTGTCTAATAAACAATAACTGTATGTATTTAAATTGTATAAAATGTTTTTTCCTGTATTGAATATAACACTATGCCATGTATTAATTGTTAGAATAAATTATGTTTTTTTATAGAATCATATGAATGAACATGTTTGCAAATAGAAATGATTTTGGTCATTAATTTTTTTAAAACCTTTTTAAATCTTCCTGTGCTTTGGGGCATGACATTTTTTTTGAACATCGTGAAAGTATTAATATTTTCGCATTTTATGCGTAAAAACTCATCCATTTTTAAGGCCAGGGAAATTTTTTTTTAAAAAGTCATATCCCTAATATATATATATATATATATATATATAATATATATATATATATATATATATATATATATATATATATATATATATATATATATATATATATATATATATATATATATATATATATGTATATGTATATGTATATGTATATGTATATGTATATGTATATGTATATGTAATGTATATGTATATGTATATGTATATGTATATGTATACGCTTAACTTCTACTCCATTCAAGTCAGTTAGCACCAGACAGTTGACATCTTCATATTCTGTCTTAAATAAAAAATGTTTTGAAAAAAAAGATATATATATGTGTATGTATATATATATATGTATATATATATATATATATATATATATATATATATATATATATATATATATATATATATATATATATATATATATATATATATATATATATATATATATATACACACAGTGGTGTACACTGAATTTTTAGATGTTTGAGTTTTGACACTTACAGGCATTGTGCAACTACAAACTTTTGTATGTTCATGCTTATACCAAATGAGAATGTTTTGCAAAGAGTTGCGGTGATTGGAGCTTAGGGACAAAAAAAAAAACCAATTTTCGGGCCCACCCACCCCTTAACGCAGGAGCAACAAGTTGATAAAATAATTTCTTTAGTATTTTTATCTAAGTTTATATTCATCAACAAATTTCAAATTTCAAGCAATAATCTCTTATTTTTTGAAAATTATGACCATATAAAGTTTTAACCCCCCCCCCTCAATTTGAGAGAGCTGTAAACTTTGTAGGGTCATAAAAACTAAACACTAAGAGGTTA